TGTTTCGTCATAGCCGCCATGTTGGCTGACGATAACAAAGCATTCCTCATTAGCTTTTCTTGTAAGATCAACCAAAAAACACTGACCACCATGTGCTGTCAGCTGAGCATAAAGAAGTCTATTTATAGCATATTAAAAACTTGTGATCCACCTGATGAACATTCGGCACGAGACAGGAAAAGACGTCAAGTTAAACCATAGTTATTAAATATTAACTATGGTTAAACCCATCAATAACACTAGTTGGTGTTTACAAACATACGTGAAGTTAATTTGCCAACCATTATCATAAGAGTCATTGCCAAGTTGCCTTGTTTCATCATCATTGACATGACAATAGCTTAGCTTAAACAATCACAGCAACTAGAGAAAATGAAGGATTTTTCCCCCTCTAGGTATTGCGTATACCCCTGACATACAAACGTCTGTAAATTTGGCAATTTTCATCTTAAGTTTTCTCGGCTGATATAACACCTGATATGATGAATTTTTGTAGGGTTACTAAAGTAAAGGTGCTCGATATTTCCAGTCTTTCACTCAGTTAAATTTTAACTCATTCGAATTTGCCGCCGCCATTGGCAAAGGGTCTATTCTGGCGTGCACGACTTTTTGATAATACTGGTCACAGATTGCACCATTTCAAAAAATGTTAAAAGTAGTTTTGTTAATCCATGATAACGGTCTGCTTAATTAATTTATTCGTGAAGATTAGTTAACACAATATAAATAAAGAATAACTCAGGGTCAAACGAGCGTGAAACAATGGCYTAAAACAATGACGAATCTCTCTTGTCTCACAAACTCAGTAAATAGTGTAATCGCGGTATTCGCAAACAAATTAACCTGCTGGTCCAAAGATTCACCAGGGAAAAAATTCCAGGACTTTTGAAGCTTCCTGGACGAGATTCCAAAGAAGTCACGCTATGAAGAGTACAGATATTAAGCCAAAAATCTGTGGGTCTAAACTTCAAACCGCGTTGGATAGAAATATTAAAGTCAATGGTCAATTAACAGAAACTTTAGGAGCCGTCGAGGCCAAAAGAAAGAAATCTTTGGAAAATCTACTGCAGAAAAAGCAGAAGTTCTTGGAAGCAACGCTCAAGAGAAGAGAAAGTATCCCAGAGAGTTACATTACAAGGAATCCAAGATCTGGTGCAAATGTGTTCAAGGTTGAAGGAAATGACATTAAGAAGAATTCGCATCTAATTGCACTTGAAAAACGTGCAAGCGCCAACAAGAAAGTTGTAGAGCCGATTCATAACATCATTTCTGCTAAGAGAATGGCGAAAAAATGGCTGACTAAGTCTAGATTGGCGAAAGCACACGAGAATATAGATGAAGAAAATGCGAAGATTTTTGACGACAAAAAGGATGAAGAAGAGCAGAAGCCCCAGAACCAGAATAGGCGAAAATCTTTGATTGAATTCGAAATTGAAACTGCAAAACTGCAAAAACAAATGTCGTTTTATCAAAATCGTCGGAAGACTCTGTCAAATGCTTTTCAACCTCTTTTGGAAAGTGATTCGGAGAATATAGAGACACCAGGAAAACATAAGAAAACAATGGTAAAAGATAATGAAGATGGTGAAAATAAGAACGACGAAAAATATCAACCGCGAAGGGAAATGGAATCTGTGGAAGCTGGAAGAAAACCTAGAAAGACAAATTTCCAGGCACAAAAAGGAATTGTATCAAGAAGAAAGTCGAGTTTGGTTGAGATTTCAACACAAAACAAAGGAGGATTAGGAACTCTGGTAAAATATAAGAGGAACGAAGATGAGAGGAGAGGTGTTGAGAKTAAAACAGGGGATAATATTCAAAGACGGTTCAATGTGAAGAAAGGAGTTATTGACACTTCAGTGAATCATGGAATATATGGTACAGGCGACGAGGAAGACGAAGATCAGGTCAACCAAAAACGGAAGGAGTTAATTTTGACGAGAATGAAAAATTTGAACAAGATTAAATCGGATAGAAAAATTCAAAAAAGCACTCGTAATGGAACGCTCAAAGGWGTTAAAAACGTTTCGATCGAGAGGAATGAGTGCTGTGATGAACGAACGACACCACGCAACTATTCTGGTTTTAACACTGATCCATCAAAGGCAAATAATACTATTATCTCTAACCACAGAAGCAAACAAAGTTATGAGAACAATARCGATACCATTAGAGGCTTGGAAATCGCGAAACAAAGAAGTGTGAACACAATGAATAACGAATCTACTAACGATGTAATAAAACAATGTCCTTCAAAATCTACTTTGAAAAACAACGTAGAGTTAAACAATGAACTTWTCGATGTACTTAGCGACCAGGAACGTGGATTGAATCCGGAAATTTTTGAGAGCTCATACGAGACAATGCTATCAGAAATTCAAGAGAAGGCGACGTACGGCGTCCAGCAGGAGAACCTTGAAGGCCAGGCTTCTCATCCTTTAAGAAGAGGTACTCTTTTAAGGCAAAGACGAAAAAGTGTTGCAAATGTCGACGAGTTAAAGAAAGTTGAAGTCGAAGAAAAAACGAAGGTTAACGTTTCAAGAAAGAAAAGCATCGATGAGTCGAAACCTCTGGACTTAGTTTCCACGGCGCATGCGCAACCTTTGAATACCACCAAGCGCATTTCACATCGGCGTAAGAGTATTTCGTCATTGCGTGGGCTGCACTTGAGGGGACCCGTAGGGAACGTCTTTGGACACTTTACTAGTGAAAATAATTATAATACCGAGGGGGGACAGAGTGGGGATGGGTTAGCTCCATCAGGGTTGACTCGCAGACGCAGTAGTATCGTGTCCATTGGAGTGCAAGGGATTTCTGCTGGGCTAATGCCGCAGCCTGATGGCGGTGAATCGGGTAATTCGTGTCAAGGGAAGCTTCTTCACGGAAGACGCAAGAGTATCGCTTCCTTGCGTAACTTTGAGGATGGGGTGCAAGGGATTTCTGCTGGGCTACTGCCGCAGCCTGATGGCGGTGAAATTTATGAATCGGGTAATTCGTGTCAAGGGAAGTTTCTTCACGGAAGACGCAAGAGTATTGCTTCCTTGCGTAATTTTGAGGATAGCCCAGCGGACATCTTCACCGAGCATAACGTTGGCCACGCGAAACGTGTCTGTGGAAGACGCAAAAGTATTGCTTCATTGAGCACCTTTGGGGGTCCTCTGGGGAAAATATTTCCTGGCCAGTCCGCAAACGATAACCAAGGGGGAAATGGTAAGAAAAGAAACGACCATGTTGGAATAGCGAATCGACGAAAGAGTGTAACATCTTTAGAGTCTGGAGAGCTGTGTAATATAGTGCAAGCGAGATCGTCTAGATTGAATGACSGGGGTCGGCGAAAGAGCATCGCTGCTTTGCCGGAATTGTCGAACAGATTAAAGTGAATATTTAGTGTGTAACAGTTATGAATCATGAGTTTATTCCAGTAAATACTAGATCCAGTTTCGAGTTCTCTGTTATTCAGGGTTAGGCTCGATTTTATGTAGAATATATGATTCGAATAGTGAAGTTCTATGGAATTTCTAAGTTGTATATGAAGAATATTTAGATAAAAGGGGTCTTAAAGAGGAAATGGGTGTGGTCTTTTGATTTTAAAAAATTGGGAAAACTTCAAATTCAAACACGGTGTTTAAAAGGTCTTCAATCCGAATATCACACCAAAAGGGTCTTAAGAAGTAAGACCCTTTTTGAGTAAATTTTCTTCATATATATATTTTGAAGTAGTTAGAACAAAATGCGAAGAGGTAAAGAGAATAACAGCACTGCTATTTGATCATATTACGCTGCTTTGTATTGAAGTATTAATCCAATTGACACGATACTAGAATTTGTGGTAGTAACCATAGTGATACTGGGAACATGCTGGCACAAATATTTACCAAAAAAAAAAAACGGCCTTGCGGCTTGTTATGTTATATCTTACATATTTTGAAGTTATGTATTTTCTAGTTTACATTTAAAATTTTCTAAAATTGTACAGTCACTGTGCGAATCGAAAAACCGTGGGCACCTGGAAATATTCTAGGAGTGTTCTATTCTTCTTTGGCCAATCGGAATCGACTTTCTAGCCACGAGATAATGGAAAGATAACAATAACGCTTCTGATTGGCTGATCAAACATTCTTGAAATATTTCTAGGTGCCCACGGTTTTCGATTCGCACTGTAAATTTGATTAAAAAATAAATTTGATGAAAATTTCAGTTGAACTGAATCGACGTGTCATTCGCGGCCTACATGATATTATTGCTTTGCTTGTTATGGATCTTTGTAAAGTGGTGGGTTTATTCTCCAGGCTCTCCGGCTCCACAAATTCCTCGAAAAACTCGAAATTCTCATTTGATTTGGAAGTTAGCCATGCCCTGACTTTGATCAGTCCAGAGGTTGTTTCAGGGTTTGATCTGTGAGTTAGCCATGCCCTGACTTAGATCAGCCCAGAGGTTGTTACAGGGTTTGATCTGTGAGTTAGCCATGCCCTGACTTAGATCAGCCCAGAGGTTGTTACAGGGTTTGATCTGTGAGTTAGCCATGCCCTGACTTTGATCAGCCCAGAGGTTGTTTCAGGGCTCGATCTGTGAGTTAGCCATGCCCTGACTTAGATCAGCACAGAGGTTGTTTCAGGGTTCCATCTGTGAGTTAGCCATGCCCTGACTTAGATCAGCCCACAGGTTGTTTCAGGGTTCAATCTGTGAGTTAGCCATGTCCTGACTTAGATCAGCCCAGAGGTTGTTTCAGGGTTTGATCTGTGAGTTAGCCGTGCCCTGACTTAGATCAGCCCAGAGTTTGTCTAGGGCGGGCCGGTATCGATAAAATTGAAGGGTTTATTTCTTTTGGTTTAATTTTATGTTTATATACACAACTGCATTGTACAGCATACCTTGAAACAGACAGTAAATTCATTAAGCAATTTGAAAGTCGTTTAGTTTTGGAGATATTGGTCATTCAGAGGTTGTGGAAAAGACTGGGTCGAGTTGGCAGTGCATTGTGGGACTGTTTTAGGGGGACAGAATAGACGCCATCTTGGAAATATGTCCCCTAAAACAGCCCCACAATGCACTCTAATGCCAAAGTCGACCCAGTCTTTTGCTCAACCTCTGAATGGCTAATAAGGATTACAGATTCATAGGTGGTTGGCATCAGGTATCCGTACCCCTCCTAAATCGCATGACAACTGTTTTGATCTAATACATTTATAAATTTATAAAGTAAATATGAATAAATGAAATTAGGAATCGTCTGGTGTCATCACGGCCTTAGTGTGTCCAACGATAATTAACGGGACCCGATACCCATACGAGATATTACAACTATTATCATCGCTATCATCATCTTCATCATCAGGGTCRCCMGAGGACATCCTWGGGCGTACTCTGAGATACCTSGTATGTTTTATTTCATCGAACATCTCAGCTAAAGTTGATTCTGCACTTGAATTTAAACGATCYTCTTCCTCTGTGRAGGCTTCTTCGCCTWTGTTGGCGGCGTCAAATACTYCTCTCTCGCCGTTTGGCTTTTGCTCACACGTTTCCGCACCTTCGAGATTGTTTGGTTCAAGAGCATGAACCAGGCCACCACCGACGTCTCTGGCAGAAATATCTTGAGTGGCCTGGGACTGGGCTTCAGATTCAAGTGTATGCATTTGCGCATGATCAGGATAATCGTTACCACTGACCTTATCAGTCTGTGGATTCGTTTCTTGTTGATTTTGRTGTGCAAATTCCACGTTCCTAATGTATCTGTACTCTTTCATGTCACCCATTACGCGAATGGCATGTAATGAAGCACGCATGCGCCGTAGGCGTATCTTATCCTAGTGAATGAAACATGAATGGATGCATTAATAAGACATTTACACGAACATAAATCTCGACAGGTATTAAAAATGCGTATAATACTCTAGTTTCGAGTTCTCTTTTGTCGTGTTTGTTAGCCAGTGATTGTGCGTAAATTATTCAGGACTCAGAGCAAAACTCGTGGAATTCTAAAGCAATTGTATTGTTTAGTGATACACATTTCTCACGTCATTACCACGTGCTGTACCAATACTAAAGAATATATTACATGCTATTGAGGCCAAGACAGAACAAAGGAGTACTCGAAACAAAAAGGAGTATTCTTGAGCATCGCCTACCCTCCTCTCAAAAAATGAATGCTCCCTATACTTACATCTTTTAGCAGGAGATACTCTACTTCTGGCTCAATATCCAACAGATCAGGAGTTGACGATGATCTTTCCATTTTATTGGACTTCGAGTTCATGTCGCCTTCTTCCTTGCCACCATGACCTGCTTCCTGCTTCTTCAATGGCTGTTGCTCCACAGATAACCACGAGTTYGTTTTCACCCGTTGCATTTTGGTAGCATCAGTCCAAGACAATTTTCTCGTGTCTTTAATATCTTTGCCTTCAGATTTACTTTCTGTTTTATTCTCGGGYAAATCTCGAAGAACTTCCAAGCTCTTGCTTCGTGTTCTCGTCAGAGGAGGCAGCGAAAGATGTTTTCTGTGACTCGTGATATTTTTATCTTTTCTCGACAAACATTCGTCACTTTTAGACAAGGGGTTGGTGATGGGTGGGATGGCTAACATACTGGGCGCCGCACAGCTTTTTAACCATCTCCCTTGTTTAGATGTCTTGTCACTTAAATTATCGTCACTAWATGATAATTTATTTCCGAAAGAAGGAACTCTGAGATTTTCAAAAGAAGTGCCATCGCTATGATTTCCCCTGTCAGTCTCATTTGTGCAAACATTAATTCCTTTATTCTTTGGAATTTTTTTGCCCTTCAAAGAATGTGGCTCGCTGAATGTTTTGCCCCAATTTTTCGAGAGTGAGTCACTCTGTTTGCCTCCATCATCCTTGGCCGAGTCTAGGCTGAATTTCTTGAAAAGCTTTTCCCTTTCCTCACTGGAGCTTTCGTTTGCATAAGAAGGGTCATTTCTGGAACTGAGTAAATATTCTAATAAATTTCCAGTGGAGTAACAGTTCCTCAGGTCCAAAAGTCCAGAAACTTTTGCCCGTTGTCTCCATTTTTCTGAGCCATTGCTACTGCGGTGGAAGCTATGTGACTTCTTTATTGGCTCAAGGCACAGACGATGTTTTAAGAACTGAGTTCTTCTTTGTTCAAASGCCTTTTCTGAGGCCTTTTTCTTGACCTCTAATACTTGAAGTTCTTTCTTAAGCTCCAAGTCGAAGTTTTGGTTTTTATTGATTGCTTTTTGTAGCCTGACGCTTGTTAATTGCTTGACTGTTGCTCTGTCATCCATGGCACTTGAAGGACTTGTTTCTATACCAGTAAATATGGAGGCAAAGAACTTCTTAAGCTGTACATTATCACACAACTTATGTTAATTGTCCTTGCTCAAGGTACTCGTAAACAACGACGAAATCTTGCCAGAGAAAACTGAAAAAATCAACTTCACTAAAATTTCAAAGACACGTTTTCAATTGCCTGTTTTTTTAGCAAGTCCACTCAGTGATGACACAAAAGACTTTTGACCATGTGCTTTTCAGAGGAGCAGTTTGTTCACAGCAGAGTTAACTCCGTTATTAACTCTGTTCACACGAAAGAAACTTTACGATTTGTTTGGGGCTCTGAATTTACCACTTAATTGTCTTGCAARATTACATGGAATATCTTTATAACTGCAGTCCTTTATAACTGTAGTCCGGTGTGATGTTCAGAAGGTCAAAGAATTTCCCGGCTTGAATCGATATACCAMAACCAATGCTGTTGTACGTACTGACTTCTTAGTTACAGACAAGAATTTGACAGAGCCTATGGATAACAGCGAAAACGCTTTTTAGCATAAGGATTCCAAATTAGAAATAGCCAATGCATATAAATAGAACAKCTCATAAAGGTTTGATTAGGGATAAATTTAATGGGGTAATTATCACTAATCCTCTAAAAGGCCTATTTTTGAGAAATAATAGGCCAAAGAATGTAAGATGTGGTCTTCAAACCAATCAACTCAACGAGGCCCATTGTTAGAGCGTTAGCAACGTCCGTAAAGAAGGTCCAACGTCAGAACTCGTATAGAAAGCACAATTGATGACGTCTAAAGATGGTTTAACAAACAAGGTCGGTCCATGGCTTTGTTCGTAAGGAATTATACWACGTAATCAACTCGAACAAAAATAATACAAGATTGAGTTCAAAATGCAGGCGTAAATTATAAAAGGATCTGCTTTAAGATTACACAGATTGCGTTGTTTTAGGGATGATCGTTGTACGTCGTTTTAGTCAGATGAACAAACTCTTTTATAGCCCAAACAAGTGTTTTTCGACTCAGCTGGGCTCTAATGTAAACAGCGGTGAATACACATTCGTAAATATTTATTTTTCCATGGCGACAGCAAGCTTAAGCACAATAAAGATGACTTGCAAGTCAAAACGTAGCACCTTGTCTTAGCTTGTACTGTAAAATTACTCCTTAAATGTTACTATCACAACCAGAGTTTGTTGTGAAATGTCAGTGTAATCGTCCGGGTGAGTGTAGTCTTGAGAAAGACTATTGTTGGTGGTGACTGACGTTTCGACAACCAAAGTTTTTATTTTGATAACGCGGGAGTGGTTGCTCAATTCTCCCGAGCCAGTGGCTCATGCAAAAAGTGTTCAAAGGTGCGCACTTTACCCCATCATCAGACCTATCATTCCTTATTATTACGGGTTTTTAAGCCTAAAGATACACAGAACACAGAGAGAAGTCGAAACAGACGTATAGATTGAACCGTGGATCACCTCTAAGCTCAGAAGACAGCGCACTGAGCTACGCCTGCTCAGAAACAATTTTAATGAAACTGGCAATTGCATCATCAACGTACACATTGAAAATTATCCTTTAATTCATCTTTAAGAACAAACACGAGGTTATCTAGTTTGTAARTAAACAACTTGATATAGATATTCGAAGGCGTTGATGGCAAATAAATTAGAAGGCAATAAATATTTAAGAGAAGTGTATGCATTATCACAGCTTTTCTTATTCAAACATCAACATCAAATATCAATATAAACATGCGAACTCTGTGTCTGCGAGCTGCACCCTGAAATTTGCTTTTTTCGCTGCCGTCAATCAAACCTAATCAGTCGTTACCTTTCGTATTTTTGACTGGCGGCAGCGAAAAAAAAACAAATTTCAGCGTGCAGCTCGAAGACACAGAGTTCGCATGCTTTTGAAAATTGCAGTAATATTGATACTGTCAAGTAGTGCAATCAAAACATGCCTAATCATCAAACTGATGAATTTCAAAATGCATATACAACATTGTTATCACCRTCGTCATCATTAATGAATGGCGTCACGTATTCTGATGCTTAGCTTTAGCGATGAGAATTACCTTGAGATAATCCCTTATTTAATTATCAACATTATCCCAATCACTGCGGTTGTATCATCTGCAACATCAACATCATAACAATCTTTATCATCACCG